ATTCACCATTGCATAAATTAAAAAGCCAAAATGTGCTGTTTACTGTTTTGTCTTGCATTTCAAAGAAAAAAAAATCAATTACAAAACAACAATTTAAAAATATTTAACACTGAACATTTTTAACATTCTAGCAGACACTATACCAACAAAGCACAATGTAACAAAATTAATAAGTTAGTAAAATAATAATTTTTGGCCATCAGACCCCCTTCTTGAATCAGGCATGTTTTTTTTGTTGTTTTTTTTACTGTACAATTAAAAGCAGCCTTGCTGAGAAGAGACTTCTTTTAAAACATTAGAAAATATTACAGATCCTAATTTGAACACTTATGTGTGAATGTTATAATAAATGTATTAAAACAGCTGTTGTAATAATTATCATTATTATTGTCTTTTTATTTTATTTTACAGAACAACAGTAAAATTACAATACTAACATTTATGAATGTTGATAAGAGTTCTTGCTTTTTCTCAACTTTTATTTTGGCGGAAACGCGCAGGAAGACCTCAATGCTTATTTTTGTTGACAACAGATTTATAAATGAGTCTCATTACGAATACGTCGTACGTATCGCATTGTCACATGCCTTGTAAAAATTCATAAAAATGTGACTGAGCAACTGACGACTGTATCAGTGCAGATTTTCCTCGCGCTTTGGACTTTGAACCCTGGTTAACAAGCAGATCTGCTGCGAGCAACAATCACCCCTTCCTCTTCTTTAGACATGCGATGCAGTACTAAACGTTCTCTTGCTGTCGGTGCTTGTAATGATTTTTGCGTCTTTCTCCGACAGTTTAAATGCTTCCACACTGCTGACATGGAACATTCGGTGCATCCCTAAATATAAATTAACTTCTCGCGCACTTTAATGCCGTTTGAATGTAACGTGTATGTTCCCTTGGAACTGGAATCATGGCGGAATTTCATGTGAAGTCCACTTCGCAGGGCACTTACGGTCGAATAAGACAACGCTTGAATGCTGCCTGAACAAGAGACCTCCTTACTGAAG